CACCGCCATAAGTCACTGATCACCGCCATTATTAGTATAAGAAAAAACTAAAAATCCCAGTATCTTTCCCGCCATTTGTAAACGCTATAACTTTCACGTAAACCAATTAATTTACACGTATTGGGGTTTTTTTTTTTAGCAAAGACATGTCGCAGAATGCATTTTGGCAGAAATTTATGACTAAATTTGATTTTTACATTTTTTTTACTGAACATGTTTTATAGCAAAAAAGTCCAAAATATTTTTTTTTTTTCCTCAAAATTGTCAGCCTTTTTTTTTTATAGCGCAAAAAATAAAAACCGCACAGGCGATCAAATACCACCAAAAGAAAGCTCAATTTGTGGGAAAAAAAAGGATGTAAATTTCATTTATGTACCGTATTGCATGACCGTGCAATTGTCCGTTAAACTAGCGCAGCGCTGTATAGAAAAAAATGGCGTAAATTGCAGTATCTATACCATAGTTTGTAGACGCTATAACTTCCTCACAAAGCAATCAATATACACTTATTGGGATTTTTTTTACCAAAAACATGGAGCAGAATACATTTTGGCCTAAATTTATAACCAACTTTGAGTTTACTATATATTTTTTATAGCTGAAAGTAAAAAATATCGTTTTTCTTGTTTATAGCGTGAAAAATAAAAAGCACACAGGTGATCAAATACCACCGAAAGAAAGCTCTATTTGTGTGAAAAAAAGGACGTAAATTTTGTCTGGGTGCAGCATTGCATGACCGCACAATTATCATTTGAATTAGTGCAGCACCGAGTAGCAAAAAGAGGCCTGGTCATTAAGGGGGTAAATCCTCTGGAGGTCAGGTGGTTAAAGTGGAACTCCAGCCTCACTCTTTTCTGTTCCATCTGCTTCTGCCTCTTTTGCTTGTTGAAAAACTGTTTTGCTCTTTATGTTTTCTCCCACTCCTCTCCCCACTTTGTGTGTCCAAATTTTCATGGAAGGGCATTTCAGCAGGCACACTTCCTGTCTGCAGAAGCCCAGTCTCCGCAGGAACCAGGAACTGTCTTATTCTAGGTTCACACCTAAGCGTTTTCTGCAGCTTTTTTGCAGAAACGTAGTACGGTCCATTTAACATGATTTCCTATGGGACATGTTCACAGCTCCGTGTTTTCACCCAGTGCGTTTTTTGGAAAGGGCCAGGGACTTTTTTGAATGCAAAAAGTTGTGTTTTTGGTTATATAGACTTCAATGGAAATGCTGCAGAAAAGCATGTAGTGCGTTTTTGCTACGTTTTTGCATTTTTAAATCTGCCTAGCAAGAAAACTGTAAACAATTAAAAAGAAAACCCGCAAAATGCATCAAAAACACATACAAAATGCAGGTGCATAAATGCAAAATGCAATGCAAAACACAATGCAGAAATGGCTCAAACGCAACCTGCAATTCATAATTGGGGTTGGAGGCTCTTTCACACTCAGAATCTCTCTGAACCTCCAAATTCCAGGTTCCATATAAGGACTTAATCCTGGGAAAGTTGAAAATCAGCTCTTTCTATCGAATCAACCTGGAACCCCTCACCCTGCATAGGTGAGAATCCCTGAGTGTCCAACTGAGCTTCCTTTCGTCCCCCTTAAAGGGACCATATCCCAAATAATAGGGATACATATCTGCCTTCCAGGACCCATCCCTGGCTTTCTGTATAACACTTACTTACTTGACACCTTACCAGGATAGTATCCTAGTGCCAATAACCCCCTACATCACTGCGGTCCTCCTACATAATGCCAAGAAGGCTACCCTCTTTCCTAGTGCACACCCACCAAAGCACAAACTTTGTTTTCTGCTTGTTTTTCTGCTTGTTACCTTAAAGTATTATGTTTCCTGTAACTACAGTGCCCTGTAAAATGAATAAAAACGTTGTGCAAGAAATAAACTACGAGGCTCATTTATAACATGCAGGCCAAGGTATGCACCTGTGATGTTTCATGAGTTCTCTCTGCTGCATTAAGCATGATTGGAGCCAAATCACATGACTTTGATGCCTTCTGATTTTCTTCCATTCACTTTTTGTGCGCATTTTTATGAGCACAATGAACATTTGTAAAGCACATTGCTGTGCTTTATAAATGTGTGGTAGTCTTTTTTTTTATGGATGGACACCTAAAGGGTTTTAATTTAAAATATAGGTTCTATATATGACTTTTATATAGAGATGTACATACTAGATCCAAAATTGTATAGTATACAACAGGTAGCTTCATATCGGATATCACTATGTCTTTATTTTCACAGAGAAAACTTTGGTTAGTTTCTTTGTGATTGATAAAGCTAATATTCTACCGTTGTTCTAGTTCTACTTTTTATCCCCAAACCTGTGGCAAACGTTCAGATAGCCTAATGAGCGTGCTCTGTTATATTCTGCAGAGCTGTGATTACAGGTGAACCGAGAGACGCTGAAAAACTCAACATTCTATCATTTCTTTACACAATTTATTGGCTTAGTCAATCGACTAGTTCACGCATAAATCAAAGTGAGCTAATGGGTTTAATATGTGTTGTTAAATTAAGCAGGAAAGTCTTTCTTGCCTTCTTTATTTTAATTTATCAGTAGAAACTTGCAAGAAATTAACATAACGCTGAGCTAGCCAATTACTGCTAGGGTTTTACATATTGCATGAAATACCGCCAACCAGTCAGCGCCATGTTTGTTTGCGCCAAGACCTTTGCATATATTGTAAGTCTGTTGGATAAACTGCAATACTTATAATATATACATGAACATTATACATTTGGATACACCCATATTCTGTAATGTCATCACACTGATACTCTGCCAGTATGAACCAGGATTCTCCAATTATTTTTGTTTTATAAATGTTTCATGATGAAAAACACATGTCAACTAACCTGGACTTAGTAGGATGAGCTGTATAAATACACAACTTGTACTCCCCCACTTCACTGTTTAACATTCTGAAAGCAACTAGACATGCTATTCGTTCCATTACAAATCAAAATTCAGGCAAGATTTTTGTTATTTGGATACATCTATATGAAAGGGGTTACTCAGTGATGTCACTGGGTGACCACACCCCCATAACTCCACTTGGAGACCCCCGTTCATGACATCACAGGGGGGGTGTGACCACCCAGTGGTTGGCGTTCATTGTGATTAATGCTGAAATTACATCAGGGAACATGTTTATTTACTTTTCTTAATAAAAGACTTGTCAAAAACTGTCTGTTTTCACTTACTTCTTACTTTTTGGTAAACGAGTAGAAACACTATGTACCCTATACTTATTCATATGGTGGGGTGGCTGGGATCTGGGGACCACCTTGTTATAGGGGGCTTCCAGATTCCAATAAGTCACCTCCCCACCCTCCCACAACCACCCGGCCAGGGTTGTGGGAAAGAGGTTCTTGTCCTCATCAACATGGGGACAAAGTGCTTTGGGGGGGAGTCCCCCCTCCTCCAAGCAACCCCTCATGTTGAAGACATGTAGCCTGGTATAGTTTCTGGCCTGCCAGGCTACATGCTGATATCAGGGTCTGGCATGGATTTGGGGGGGACCCCATGCCATTTTTTTTTTTTGGCATTGAGTTTTCCTCCTTAAAATCCATACCAGACCTAAGGGCCTGGTATGTATTTTGGGGGACCCCACATATTTGTTTGCAATGGTCCCCCTTAAAACCCATACCAGACCTGAAGGATCAGTGGGAGAACTCCACGCTGTTTTTTCTTTTTCTTAATGCCTCTTTTGTTTACATTCTCCAGTGTAAACCTAGGCTATTATGTGTCAGTGTAAACCTAGGCTATTATGTGTCACACTTTGTATTGTTATGATTGGCCAAAGCTAAAAAGCAAGTCGCATCAAAGTTGCAAGCAAGTTGCATGAAGTCGCAAACAACATCACCAAAACAACATAACCGAATCTGAAAAATACATATTGATTCTGAACAAATATACAAAACTAATTCAGAAAAAAAATCATTCTAACAAAACAAATATGATAAAACAAAATTATTGACATAACAAATGTATCTGAAAAGGAATGAAACAATTTTTTTAATACTGCACATCTCTAAAAGCAACCCTGTTGCTAAGAAAACAAATCCTGTAAAAAAGACTGTTTATACCTGTCCTTTAGGACCAATTCCTCAGATCTTTCATGTTTTGCAGAGCTAAAACCATCAGCAAAATCTTGACATCTGGCACTTCCAACTTCTGTTGGATGCCCGCTTTCCCTACCACAACTCTGGTTCATTCCACTGGCCCCCATGTCTCTATTGTATCCTGTGATTGTATAGTAGAGCAGTTTGGGGACAGGGATAGAGTGTTGTCACCCTATATTACTGTATACCTTGAGGGCCCATTCACATCAGTACAACATGATCATGTGCACTGGTGCAATGAGTTGTCATTCCATCATAATGGTAATCTTAAAGCAGATAACATATATTAAAGTAACACATATATTTTCCTTAGTTTCAATGGTCCAATGCCTGAGAGGTCCCTGTTTTGATTTGCATGCATGGGACTGCAGTCATCCCAACACACTAGCATGTGCAGCTCAGTGTACATTCCACAGAGGATTGCAAATAGGCAGGTAAATGTACTTTATCGCAGAAGAGTCATTGGGGTAGATTTATTAAAACTGATGCACTCAGAATCTGATACAGCTGTGCATGGCAGCCAATCAGCTTTTAACTTCAGCTTGTTCAATTAAGCTTTGGCAGTAAAAAAAAAAAAAAAAAACGCTGAACCTTTACAGTCACTTTAAATGGTTTGTCTCATCCCTGTAAACTGATACATCTGAAAAGAGCTTGTTCTTTTGTTTGTTATTTTTTAAGATATAACATTTAAAGCTTTAGAACCACTTTAACCACTTGCCAACCGCGCTATAGCCGAATTATGGCTTCAGAGCGGTTGTCCAGTTCCAGGAGGGTGTCATATGATGTCCTCCCAGAACGCTCCCTCGCACTTCCGTGTGCCCCCAGGGACTCGCATTGCTGTCAATGATCCGTGATGTGGTAAATCGGCCAATCAGTGGCCTTTTATCACGTGATCAGCCGTGTCCAATGACACAGCAGATCACCGGTAAATGCAGTTGCCCAGTTATCGGCTGCACTTTCCGCACGCTGCCACAGCGTGAGTAAAGTACTGGCGATAACTGCCAATTGTCAGAGGACGGCTCGGCACCGATGAATCAGTGCCCTGATGATCAGTGCCGTGCCACCCACCTGTGCCCAGCAGTGTTGCTCACAAGTGCCAAGCAGTGCCACCCACCTGTGCCCAGTAGTGCCCATCAGTGTCACCCACAAGTGCAAATCAGTGTCCAGTAGTGCCACCCACCTGTGCCCAGCAGTGCCACCCACCAGTGCCCAGAAGTGCACCCCATCAGTGCTACCCATCAGTGCTGCCCAACAGTGCCCCAACAGTGCCACCAGTGTGCCAGTCAGTGCCCAGCAGTGCTGCCAGTCAGTGCCAGTGCCACCCATAAGTGCTTCCCATCAGTGCCACCTATCAATGCCGCCTATCAGTCATTGTTACATATCAGTGCAGCAGCATCAGTGCCGCCTATCAGTGCTACAGTGCTATCTATCCGTGCCACCTATCAGTGCCCATTGGTGCTGCCTTTCAGTGCAGCCTCATCAACGCACATCAGTGAAGGAGAAAAATTATCTGTTTGCAAAATTTTATAATAAAAATAAAGAAAACTTTTTTTTTTAAATGTTTTGCTTTTTTTGTTTATAGCGCAAAAAATAAAACACCCAGTGGTGAGTAAATACCACCAAAAGAAAGCTCTATTTGTGTGAAAACAAAGTTATAAAAATGTCATAAGGGAACAGTGTTGCATGACCGCGCAATTGTCATTCAAAGTGCGACAACTCTGAAAGCTGAAAATTGGCCTGGGCCCGGTAGGCAAGCGATTAAACCCTGCCCATGTTTATAATTTAAACCATGCATGTGTTTTGTAACTGTTGTCTATAGACACCCCGTTGTCTGTTCTTCTGGGCTGACATCTCTGTATTGGCCCTCTAGTGGATTCTCTATATCAATATGTAGATATTTTATCTAGACTGGTAATAAAGGTAGCTTAGCTGAAAAAAAAGCAAGTTTATCCAAATACCTAACACAGAGAATGTAGAGGGAAATCTGTGCGCTGGGAATCCCTGTGAAAGCCCTGGTTGGAGATCTACTTCTGCTCAGGTACATTTTTCTTTAACAAAATTTCTAAAATCTATGTTGTTCAAGCGTTAACCTGTCAATATATTACTTAAAAAACCCTTGGACCCAATCAGCCCTTTCCTGTTTACATTTTGGAATCCATAAATGTTGGGGCTGGCATTCTCTTCCCACCCTTGTTCCTCAAGAAACAAAGCAGCCGATAAACATGTTTACTTTCTTTTAAACACAGTTTCTGGCACCCACTCAGACCTGGGGGTTCCACAGTAAATAAAGGAACGTAAGTGCTATGATTACACACTCTGAGTACATATTGTATGCCTGCAGCACAAACCATCTCCGGAATTCTGTGGCAGGTAGCTCCGTCAGGTCAGTGTGGGTCTATTCTTCTCCAGCTCAAGATAATTGCTGCTCCTCATCTGACTTGCTAGTTATTTGCTGCTTCTTAAAACATGTGCCCGCCATTCAAAGAGTAAACCTAGGTAACACAACACACAAAAACATTACAACAAAGCATCACCCACGTACAAAGCATTCAGTGACATTTGTATGTTAATTTGTATGTAATTAACAAGATGAGACAAAAAGATTATGATGGCAAGAAACTATTTTCTTTTAATTTGCTTTTGTAGAGGCTTTAGACATATTTTTGGGTTTAACAATAATTGTCTAAAGGACTAATCATTCCCAGTATTCAGATTTAGGATTGATGCTGAAGTACTCTAAATCTCCCGCTGTTGTCTTATATTTCCCAGGGACTCTATTTCTGAGATTTAAAATAGTAGGGTTTCCACTTCTGTCTCCTCGATCAGTGAGTGTCACTGTCAGCTAAAGCATTCCAGCAAGGAGAGTGAGACTTCTTCCCCCCCACATGATAAATAACATCAGATGATAGGAAGCCAGGGAACACAGGTGTAAGGACTGTCACCAGACCAGGGGCGGACTGACCATTTGGAAACTCGGGCACTGCCCGAGGGCCCGGGGTCAGTAGGGGGCCCCGTGAGATGCCCCTGGTACCTTTTTCATAGGCTTTTTTGAGTTTGGGCAAGGACACAGGGGCCCCATGATCCCCTATTGCCCGGGGGCCCCATGAGTCGTCAGTCCACCCCTGCACCAGACCTAAGCCCTTTTTAGACAGCAGGTCCACCTGTCAGTTTTTCGGCCTCATGCACATGTTTTTGCAGCCATTTTTAGGGGTGTCAGGCCTTTATTTTTACTGCTATACGCCCCTCCATGTTATTGTAGGTGTCCATACAAACATAGACTTTTAGAAGCTTTTAGTAGCAGGGGCGTTTACCAGCAGGAAAAAAAAACAGGGCCAGTGTGTCCAGGAGCAGCAGCGTTTTAGCAGAAAAAAAACGCTTGACACGTAAACGCAGCTAAAAGCGCATTAACGCAAGGTGCGTTTAGCGCTTGTGCATTAACTTATTTTAATGGACAGATAAATTATTATTCTGGCCAATTAAATTAATTACCGCCCATGCGATTGATGCCTGTAAATGCGCCTAAACACTTGTAATAGCATTAGACACTTTTAGACAAGTGTCAGGCATTTTTTCTGCCAAAACCTGAGCCAAGAGGAGGAGAATTTTTAAAAGGTTCTGTGTGCACGAGGCCTTCAGGCAGACCTGATTAATCGACCCATTCACCTCTATGGACTTGTGTCCATTTACATCTGCCTACCTCCAAGCTGATCCACTAAAAGAAAAAAAAAAAACGTAAGGGGATCCGTCCTACATCTAGGAGGATCAGAAGGCAATCCCCTAAGGCCCTTTTCACACAGGGCATACTCTCTTTGAGCAGAGCGGGCGGATGACAGGTCCGTGTCTGCTCAGGTTATGTCGAATGGACATGGACAGAGCCTGCTCTGCTCTGTGGGTGGCTGGGAGTAAAAGGACTCTGCTGTCAGTTTACACCCAACTGCCCTTTGACCTGAATAGACAGAGGGGGACAGAACCCCTTCCATTTTTCTTTAGCGGACAGCATCGGATTGGAGGTAGGTGGATGTAAATGGAGTCAAATTCATTTACACCTGCCAGTCCATAAAGATGAAGGGACTGTCCTGAAAAACTGAAAGGCGAACCTGATCGGAACTACTATGTGAAAAGGGCCTTAGTCTTTCTGAACCTTTTTACTCCAGAAGAACTCTAGAAATAATTGTCAAGTCTCAGGAAACCTGGTAAACTTAATTCATCAGTGATCAGTGAGAAAAATGCCCCTTAGATTGGTGATCAGTGGGAACAATGCTCCCATGATGATGTTATAAGGATCATAATGCCACTCATAGCCTCGGTTCACACTTTCCGACTTCAAAGTTGCACGATTTTCATTGCAACTTTGGATTCCAACTTGAATACAACTTTGAAGTGACTCTGATACGACTTTTACACTCTCTGGCACTGAAGCCATATCAAAGTTGGATCACAGTAGTGCAGGATTCTTTTCTGAAGTCGCAACGACTTCAGTAGTGTCAATTGGAATGTGTCTCATAGATATATAGTTCACATGTCTTGCGACTTTGGGTCTCACAATTAGGATCCTAAGTCGCAGGTGTGTGAAGCGAGCCTTACTCTTAAACAATCACTGGTGTTATGCCGCTGGCTCTGCCAAGTCGGATCTGGAATTATGCAGGCACCATCAGATCGGAGGTCAATCATCCATAGCTCAAGGAGCTCTGTAGGAATCCCAGGGTTGAACAGAAACCTGATTGAGAATAGCTGCTTTGACATTTACCAAGCTTAGTGCAGACTCCAATGATTAGCATCTCTGGACTAACCCAATGTGAATTTTTAATATACCCTCGTTTAGAATCTAGATGTGCTTATTTCAGCTCTTCTTGGGAGTGTCGAGAGCTGGGTTGTCTCCTCCTGCCTCCCACACCTTTCTATTGGTGGATCATGTGGGTGGCTTTACTGCTCATTTCAAAACTGCAGAAAAGTGCTCTCCCTACACAAAGACATATCAACATGTGTGTATTAGATCTGCTTTTGATTTGGTGCAAACAGGGAATTTCAGGGCAGAATTTCATGTTTCATAATAAATAGAAGTGTTTTCCAATGCCATTTCTGGCCCAGCCATCCCGATGTACTTTTCTATCACTTACCTGATCCACACGATGTTTAAAATCTTGTCAGTTTATTTGAATTTTTGAACTGATTTTCAGATTTCATCACTTCCTGTAGATCATCTCTCAGCATTCACTTCCTGTAGGACATCTCCCAGAAGCCTTCACTCCCTTGTTGCATAACAGAAGGGGGTGTAATAGAGTGTGTTCACCACTCCTCCCTGATTACAATACTACCTTCCACCCACTTTCTATGCAATCTGATTGTACAATCTCCTTTAGATGTCCCATCAGCTATGTAGTACAAGGGTCTGTTTGATTTGATACAAATTGAATAGATTGGTCAGGTGTGTCCTCTTATTCCATAGTACTGGTAAATCTAAAGGAAAGTGTACAGAGATTGTACAATCAGATTGCAGAGTGTGTGGCCATCTTTATACAAGCACATAGGAGGGAGTGGATGGAGACACTCAGTTGTCAGGCCCCGTTCACATCTCCATGTAGCGAAAACTCACATTCCCACATGCATGTGTTTCGGGTGTTTTGGAGCGTTTTCACTCATCACGCATAGGGCTGCCCTACATGCAACAATTGCCCCAGAGAAGCTCCAGAACATTTTCTGGAGTGGCGCACGGTGCGTTACTGCAGTTTTTGGTGCATTTGCCACGCTTGGGGTGCCTTTAACCACTTGCCTACAGGGCACTTATGCCCCTTCGTGCCCATGCCAAATTTCAGCTTTCAACGCTGTTGCACTTTCAATGACAATTGCACGGTCATGCTAAACTGTGCCCATGTGACATTTTTATCAGATATTTCACACAAATAGAGCTTTCTTTTGGTGGTATTTAATCGCCACTGGGTTTTTTTTTTCTTTGCGCTATAAACAAAAAAAGAGCAAAACATTTTTCCTTTGTTTCTATTAAAAAATTTTGCAAGCAGGTAATTTTTCTCCTTCACTGATGTGTGTTGATGAGTCTGCAGTGATAGGCAGCACTGATAGGCAGCACTAATGGGCACTGATGAGGTGGCATGGATAGGCAGCACTGATGGACACTTATAGGCTGCACTGAGGAGGTGGCACTGATGAGGCGGCACTGGTGGGCATTGATGAGGAGGCACTGATGATGCTGCACTGATATGCTGCAATGATGGTCACTGATAGGCGGCACTGATAGGCAGCATTAATGGGCACTGATAGGTCATTGGACATAGCTGATCACGTGGTAAAAGGGTGCTGTGATTGGCCTTTTACCTCATTATGTGATCAGCTGTGTCTGTAGGGCACAGCGATAATGGAGGTCGCTGGGGGTGCGCGCCCCTGGGGGCGTGCAGGAGAATGCGTTTTGGGAGGACGTCATATGACGCCCTCCCAGAACTGGGTAACCACACTGTAGCCATCATTCGGCTATAGCGTGGTTACCAAGTGGATAACATGTAATGACAACATAAACACGAATCACATGTGCAGCATGTTTCTGAAAACATATGTCAAGCCATGCATTTTCTGTGTAGTTTGCTATACGTTCGGAAACACACAGATATGAATGGAGCCTCATTGTTCTTGTGTAAACAAACCAATTTCACTTTCAGGCCCCATTAATGGTAGCGCATGTTTTTTGTCTACTTTTTCCAGTGACACACATAAGGCAGCCCGTTGTTTTCAATGGGCTGCGCTACACATTACGAAGTAGCTCATGGGACATTTTGGCAGGGTGCGAGTTGCGTGCATTTACTGCACATTTTTCTGCATTTTTCATGTTTTTTCATGTGGCAAAAACGAGTGCTTGCTTCTGTGTTTGGTGTGTCGTTAACAATTAATGACACTGAAAGCACAACTAGGTAATTTTAAGTGTATAAATGTGGCCATACACTATACAATCTGATTGTACAATCTCCATATGATCTCCTTTAGATTTACCAAAACTATATAATATGTGGAAACATCATCTAAACAATTGCTCTGTATCCAATCAAGCAGACCCTTGCACGACATCATGGGTGTCCCATGGGCTGCATGTGGCCCCAGGGAGTTCAGCATGCATCCTGAGCCCATCTTAAGGGACGCTGGGGTAGCCAGGCAAATGCACATGTGGAGATATTCCAGGAATGCAGTGAAAAAAATAGTTGATGGGTGAAGGATGTGGGTTTTAATGAGATCAGTACAGGATGTGTGTACTAATGAGGTCAGCTAGTAATCTCCTTCTTGTGTCTTGCTGGCTTCTCTGTCCTAAATCTCCATGCCGGCAAGTTCTTATTATTATTATACAGGATTTATATAGCGCCAACGGTTTGCTCAGCGCTTTACATTATAGTAGGAGACAATACAGTAACAATACAGTTCAATACAAGAGGGATTTGAGGGCCCTGCTTCTTGGCGCTTACAATCTAGGAGGGAGGGGTGAATGGTACAGTAGGTAGTCACTGTGGGGGATGGAGTGGTTGGAAGAGTAGAGGATTCCAGAATTAGCAGAGGGCGGGATATGCTTCCCTGAAGAGAAAGGTTTTCAGTGATCGCCGAAAGGCAAGTAGAGTAGGTGATAGTCTGATAGATCGGGGTAGGGAGTTCCAGAGGATGGGTGACGCCCTTGGAGACGAGCATGGGAGGAGGAGATAAGGGACCTAGAGAGTAAGAGGTCTTGCGAGGATTTGGAGTGTACGGATTGGGTGATATTTAGAGATAAGATCGGTTATGTAAATTGGGGCAGTGTTGTGGATGGCTTTATATGTCATTGTTAGAGTTCTGAATTTTATCCGTTGGGTAACTGGGAGCCAGTGGAGGGATTGGCAGAGAGGGGTGGCGGATACGAAATGGTTAGTGAGGTGGATGAGTCTGGTAGCAGCGTTCATGATAAACTGGAGGGGGGATAGCCTATGATGAGGTAGGCCAACGTGGAGGGAGTTACAGAAGTCTAGGCGTGATATGACAAGGGAGTGAATAAGTTACTTAGTGGTTGCAAGTGATGAAGCTTTTTAAGAAATACAGCAAGAGATAAGGTAAGGCCTTGTTCTCAAAATCAAAAAAAGCTTGTATTTTCTGCCACTGAGGTACATTAATGGTATATTGGTACATAGGGCAGCTGGATTTTAAAAAAAGGTGAAATTAGCCTTTAAGAGTTGTCATTTTTGTGCTACAGCCTCCTTAGTACTATTGTATTGGTGGTTTTGCTTTAAAATTAAAATCTAGGGAAGTCTAGAGAGCAGCTGAAAAAAAGCCAATTAAGATTTGTTTTCTCTTTTTATCTTTGCTGCCAGTATTGGGTTTTGAATGTTCTCAAGTAGAATCCGCAGCGGACACCCTTGCCAGACATTGGTTCTGTGACCATTTTGTATGTGACTGTGGTCAATCAGCAAGGATCCCGATCCTTGTGATATCATAGTGATCACATGGCAATCATGCTGGCACTGAACTGTCATTGTGCCTAGCAGAAAGAGGAGATGCACTTTGACAGAAGTTAGGCTAACCATTTCCCTTGCAAAAGGGGCCCCCTGCACTGAAAGGATCAAATGCTTGTTTCATCAAGGTTGATAGGAATAAACACAGTACTTACCTTATTACTTGCTTTCCTGGCAGGAGATTTTTTTTTTTTTTGTTTTATTGTTTATTCATTGCTTCTCTGGCAAGCAGTTGGTGCTCTTCTCCACTCTACATCTACAAGAGACAATGGGTGTGCTATGAAAGGTTAAAGACAGTACAAGTGCTGCAGGATGTGGGTGCACATGCTACAGGAGATATTCAGAGACTGTTGACATGTTATAGGAGCACAGAAAAAGTAAGATAACATGAAAGAAAAAAATTAACTACTAGAACACAGTCTAAAGAATGGTTTTCCTTTACTGACTGACAGAATTTGAAGAAGCAGCAACATGCAGCTGCGGTGACAAAAATGAACATTTAATCCTTGCAATGTGGCGTGGGTGGTACACGGCAAGGAACGATTTTTGCTTCTGTTGCCCAGAATTGGGCTTTAAAGTGAAATACAGCCCTGGTCACTATCAGGTTCTTTATTTTACTTTCTTCCACGTGTGTCTTAAAGGAAAGCTATTTTAGCTATACTTCCCCTATGGATCACAGGAAAGCGGTTTGTTTTACCCCTTTCTGTGACCTGTTTTAAGGCAAATGTGCCCAGGTTCTGGAACTCTGGAAAGATCCTGACCGACCATATAGTCGGGATCCACCCAGGAACCTGACCGACAAAAGGCTCAGTCTCTCAGCATGCCACTGAGACCCTGAACTAGTCGCTCTTTCCCCCTCCACAGCCTGGCACTCCACTGAGCACTGGAGGGGCATAGCAGAAAGCCAGAAACTAACAGTCACCGGCTCTCTGCAGTCTTTGATCGCTCAGGTCTCGGTCTTAGAAGCAGTGGGAGTGGGAGATGCTGCATCCACCTAGGTGAGTATCATTTGTTTTCCACAACTCCATATTTCTCTTTTAATGTTAAATGCTTTGATAGCTCATAAACATTTTTTTCCATCAACAGTTGAGTTGCTTGAAATGCCATAAAGGTTTTGTGGTCAGTTTAGATACAAATAGTACTTAGCATTTTTTGAATAGATAGAATGGAAGATAAATGGAAATCCAGTTAGACAAATTGGAGGCCAGAAGCAGAGGACTTAGAGCAGGAATATGATAAAAGTTTAAATGATGTCTCAGGAGATGATACTGTATTTCCCTGCTACCTCCAGGCCTTGTTTGATACACACTGCATCACATTAGTGAAGGAGTTACACTTTCATTCTCCAACCCCGAAGTCTGTAAATGGTCTCATCAGTTTCCTATACGGAACACGCTGGGTAATAAACAGTGCATGGCGTAATATCTGAGAGCTTCCAAACACCAAAACAAATGAAATGATTTCCCAAATGTTACTGCAAGCCAAGGAAAGTCCTACTAAGACATACAGTGAATGAAGATATTATGTATTAGGGATAGAATGTATCTGTCATTTTGACAGATTGCGTGGCATGAAACAGATTAACAGATTACTCTTAGTCAGGCGGCTGCTCTCTGTGAAAAATGTGCAGGAAATGATAACTGTCGGTTTGTGCTGATTTCATGATATTTTCAAGCTAAAATAACAATATAGAAACATGATGGGATAATTTTCTCCAGTCATTGTATGGGCTTAGCATTTCTGGACATAGAAACCTGTTAAAGAGCATGACCAAACTGCTGAATCCATTGATGGAAAGTGTATGTAGCAGGAACATATGTAGAGTAATGGATGTGTTTTGATCTACATATAGCGCAGTCAAACACTGGAAACAGCCAGCCTTAGAAGGACAGGACACTGATGATGCCGGCTTAAAGTGCAACTTCAGGCTCCATACTCACCACCAAAATTTGCTCCCCCTTCTCCTCTTGTGTCCCCCACTGACATTATTTTTTTCTTTAATACTTAAAGAGTCTTCAGCATGGTTATTTGATGCTTCAGGGTCCTCTTCATCTTCACCTGTTCTCCAGCATTGACAACGCACATTAATGTGCGACATAATGTGTGTTCACATGTGTTTGCATGCAACAGATTGGCTTGGTGTGAGTGGGACCCTGAAGAATGAATGTGAGTGCTAAAAGCAATTGATGCAATCCACGAATGCATAGTCCTCCCATGTCGATGGCACATACAGTAATCCAGAATATGTATATTATAACATCACCAATCTTGTCACAAATTACCAACCTTTTAGGGCTACTGAGTATCTCTTTATTGTGTTTTAGACATACATTTACACATACAATGCGTGCACAATTTATAAACACACAATGAGTGCATAATTTATAAAGTGTAACCCCTCCAAATCATGGCTGGGATGAAGTAGACATGAAATATATTAGCATGTTGGGTTCTATATGCATTAACATAAACTACCCATGGATGTTGTCAAACGAATTGTAGTTTGATGTGCTTAACCTATAATGCAGCTCTTATGCTTCCATAATGGTGCTGAAAACTTGTTGCATGCATACATGTGGGACTGTCTGGGGTAAGGATTGAGCAGCTGAAGTTTGGCATTTGTTGTCCTAGCTGCCAGAGTCTACAGGCCTTCTTCCAGCATTCAGAGAGTAATAGTCTCAAAATACAGAACCTGGTTGGAGGGCAAGATGACGAGAGGACATCTCTTACGCTTCTGGTCAAGGCCCACCTTGAACTGGAGCACAGGGAGTTTATCAGCCGAGGTCAAACCAGGAATCAACAGAGAAAGATCAATGTCAGGAACTAGCCATTGTCAATAACAGAAAGGCAGG